GTTGGCTAAGTCGGTGGCCTCATCACTAAGCATCGACACTACAGAGCCCTATTGTCACGGTGAGGGGACGCAGCCGCGCGAAGAAAACCGGTGACATACGGTTTTCACAGATCACAGTGCACAAATCCTGCTTTATGAAGATATGTTTAAGGAGTAATAGTAAGTCAATATATCAATATAAAAAAATAACGGGGGTTGACGCTCAAAATGCCAAGGTATTTGGGCTACCAACGATACTTTATTATACAAAATCAATTAAGCAATATTGAAAGTATGTTTATTATCAAGCGATTAACGAGATCGAATCTCTCTACTCTTATCTAAATTCTTCGTTTTTCATCGGACCTATTTTATAGTCAAGCATGTTAAAAAATAACAAAACAAAAGCACATATTCCGCCTGTATTTCTAACTGATTGGAAGATAGGTTTGTAAAATACCTACTATTATATATTATATAACTATTGTTATATTGTGTCTTATTTTACTTTTTATTTTGAAATATACAAGCGTTTGAGACTACTGGCTGTTATCCCTACGATAATTAGGTAATAAAAAGGATCACGTGGATTTCACCATCAGCCAATTTCACCATCAGCCAATTTCACCATCAGCCGTGACAATAAATAAGTAGTTCGAAAAACCTTCGTGACAGGTTGATGTGTATTTGTCGTATGTAATTCCGCCCAACGTTCCCAAACTAGAAACTGAATATATCTATGTCGAGTCAGTAAGATGGACAAATTGTATTTATGAGCATTACACTTTTGCGTTTTTTCAGCCTTTACGCCTAACGTTGAGCTCTGTTGGCAACTATGTTCGGAATCTTGATGTTTATTCCTTGCTTCTGTTTATTATCTAAATCTAAAGTTTAAACTAGTCTTTGCTAGAAGAAGCATTCAGAGTTCCGGAGCAATATGTTACGAGGTTCTTTGCTATGTACTGTATTGAATGTCGATTATGCATAACCGTATAGAAATTGCAAGCATGACATATGTTGAAATCGTATGATGATTGCATGATTGAAATCATATGATTAATCAATAACCGTATAGAAATTGCAAGCATGATATATGTTATGATGATTGCATGATTGAAATCATATGATTAATCATGAATCGTTCGACATGTCACTTTATACGCTCAGGTATTTAAAGTTCTAGCTGACAGGTGGTGGTGACGGATTTCCGCATATTTGCCGACAATTGGATATAAAATGCTCGATCACATGATGTTATTTGTACTTGCTACATCTACAATTAAACATCATCAGTTTCCCCAACGTAATAATCTCCCAGTTCAAATGACAAAACTGTGACATCATGTAATTAAGAAGAGCGTTACATTGCATAAATTGCAAGATTCAACGAGTCTAATTATAGTACACTCCACTTTGATACTTTTCGTTTCGTATATGTAACAGATTGTAGACTACATACATTGTCTCGCCCACAACAGGAGGTTGAAAGTATAATAATATGTAAGGGGTTGGGCACCAATTCATGCGAGCAATAAAATGACACTACAACTTGCATTTTACTATTGTAAGAATGTTTCTTCATAATGAATAACGGAATCCTCGGTTACTCCTCAAAAGCTTGAAAAAGGTCGGAAGCTCGCACTTGCACACATACGCAATTCCACAAGCACTCTTTGAATGGGCGTTTATTTCTTTCATAAAAAACCGGTCTGATGCTGGATACGTTTAGCATTCACAATTGTTGTAAAATTTCATTGTAAGTTCCAAAGAGCGCCTAACCTTTTTTTCAAAATGCGTAACTTATTATCGCTTTGATCTATTCCTTTTGTGACCGTTGTGCAGCAAGGTGATGCAAACTTTAATCATACGACCAGGCTCGGCAATAAAGGCAACTATATGTCCCCTTGCGCCAAAGGAAAGAAATGACAATGAAAATTACCCGTTCACATCACATATTGGCTGCACACTTTTTATCCGGTCTCCGACGTTTGCTATATCAGTTTCTAAATACGTACGTAATGTGTAACGACTACTAATTATCTTACGTCTGTTCTAGAATCTTTTTTTATCGACCAAAATAACTCAATTGAATAGTATCTTATCAAAAAGTAAGCATTTATTTATAGTACGCAGTTTTAAAGATTAGATGGATAGTATTTATGCGTGAGAAAGAAAATATGCATCAGCGATCTTGTCGCATGTGTGATGCATGAGTTTGTCACTGGTCTTTATTATGTGGGATGATTCTCCATAGGTCGAAGATTGGAATGACAAACAATACTCTCGTCTGTCGACATGAATAAAACAACACATAATTACAATAACGCAATAAAAAACAAGACACAATTTTTGGTTTTTGATACTCCAACTGTTAAAATACTTTTGATCTCCAAAAACGGTTAGTTACGTTTACTGCTCCCCCTCAGTTATACGTCATCTTTCCAGATTACCGGTAATTAGTTTCACAAATTAAGACTATTTACCTATATTGATTACTTAATTTCTATTCATATTCAGAACCTACACATTTTGGTATTGGCGGCGACATCTTTGATTTTAAATATATTGCATGTCTCGAGTCATTGCTTTACGTATAAAAAAATTTTGTAATTTCTAATTGACGGGCAGGCCGTAAAAGACACTCTTGATAGCCAGCCCTCTATTTTAATAAATATGATTGATGCATATTGATTGACCCTCAAAATGGCAAATCGAATGACAATTAAACTTGCATTTGCCGTCAATGACGCAAGTATCTGCAGCGATTTACGACTGCAAAAAATTACAAAAGTTTGCATAAGCAATGCATATTGCCTTCTTTTCTTGGCCATCCTCGACCCGCTGGCGAAACGCCAAATGTGTATAAATACATCTATACTATCTCGCTTCTATCAACTCGTATCCGATTACAAAAAACAATGCTTAACATATTCTTTTTTATTGCACTTTTTCTATCAACGGTTTTAGCAGTACCATCTCTTTTTGAGAGCAAACGCAACTCTATTGCACCCTTAATCTCTTTTTCGGACGCCAAAGTCATTCCTGATCAATTTATTGTGAAACTAAAAGATGATGTTTCCAAAGACAAAATTACCACTTTAAGCGATGACTATCCTGGAATCACACACACTTACGAAATGCCCGGTTTTAAAGGATTTGCTGGCAAATTCTCGGAACAAGTGCTAAAAGAAATCAGGCAAAGGGATGATGTAAGTATTTAACGTATTCACTCTTGTACTAGTTAGCATAATTTAAACTGTTTGTCTCACAATCATCAGGTAGCATTTGTTGAAACAGATCAACAAATGCAAACATCGGCGGTAGTAGTCCAACCCGGTGAACCATGGGGTCTGGCACGCATATCTCATCGTGCGCATATTTTAAATTTTGTCACTTACAGTCAATATGCGTACAACCCAATCGCTGGCGAGAATACCACTGTGTACGTACTCGACACTGGCATCAACATCAAGCATACAGACTTTGGTGGTCGCGCTAGGTGGGGTATCACCATTCCAGCTGGTGAACCCAATAAGGACAACAACGGACACGGAACCCACGTTGCTGGTACAATTGCTGGTTTCCAGTTTGGAGTTGCCAAGAGAACTAAAGTCGTTGCTGTCAAGGTTTTTCCGGCAAACGGAGTCGGTCCTAATAGCGATGTGATCAAGGGCATAGAATGGGCTGTGAATGACCACAAAAAGACTGTCGCCAACGCCAAAAAAAAAGGATTGATATTTAAAGGTTCGGTTATTAATATGAGTTTGGGCGGTAACAAGAGTATTGCTTTGGACACTGCTACCAATGCGGTAAGAATTTGTGATACGATCGTTCATGATAAAGTTTTTTCCTTGACGTTAAACGTATCATATGATATTTGTTTTACTAGGCCGTGGATGCTGGCGTCCCCGTGGTTGTAGCTGCAGGCAACGGCATCACTGATGCTTGTCAAAAATCACCCTCAGGAGCGGAAAAAGCGATTGCTGCTGGTTCCACAACTCAAGAAGATTCGCGCTCTTGGTTCTCCAATTTCGGCTGTTGCGTTGATATTTGGGCCCCGGTAAGTGAAAAAAAAGAAAGCAAAAAATCTGTGTCTAAATTAGTTTCTAACATTTCTTAACATGTTCCCAAAATACAGGGTAGCTTTATTACATCTGCTTGGATTGGTTCTAAGACTGCCACAATGACACTCTCTGGTACTTCCCAGTCGAGCGCTCACGTATCGGGTCTTGCAGCTTATTTCCTCGCGTTGAGCGCAAAGCCATTGACTCCGCACCAACTGCGTCATAAACTGATTTCGGTTGCTACACGAAATCTCCTCACTGATATCAGAGCGTGCAGTCCAAATCGTTTGGCATACAATGATATCGGGTTCTAAGAGTAAACTCTGTTTTGATTTGGGGGTTTGCTTTATGAAAATATTTGCAATTAGAGACTATAATGTATTTTTAATATTTCAATTTTATGTAGATGGGGTTAATAATACAGTACATAAACATATTATTTCGAATAAAATTATTATTTATTGCAGACCGACAATATAATTCTTATAGATTGTTACTCGAGAGAGTGTCTTTACTTACCTCATTACTTGTAGGATTATGAGTTGAAAGGTAGTTCAACTTGCTAACCGTATTTATATGCGACAATAGTTGTGAATATGTCATTTCACACCACCTCAAACCAGATTACTCGTATTCCATAACTCCTACTCACATTTTCAATGTCTGCTTTCTCAATACTTTTGTTAACCATAATTTAACGTACTGTCGTGATTGACATTTTAATTTGTCTTTATCTCAAAATCAGCATAGCGTTGTAAACAGTGAACAGCCGAGATTTCTTGAATTCGATGTTAATGGGTATTGTTTTATTTTGAGGAGACAATACATTTAAGTTTTCACTGTTTTGACGAAAGAAGGTTATCACCCTGTCTATCAGTTCTTGGCGTCAAGTGTGTATCACAATATGACAGGTATTCAAAGTGCCAGTTGCCTAATTCTCATCGACTATGGGATGTAATGATATCAATAGGTTTACGATATCTCATTGGTTCATGAATAACGCCCCATGGTCTGTGTTAATATTGTGTTAAGGCCAAACTCATGATTTAAAAACAAACGATGTCAACAAACAATATATAACTATAATGTGTTGTGTACGTTGTTTATGTGTTGTGTGTGTTGTGTATGTTGTGTGTCATGTGTGTTTGTTTGTATGCGTTTCGCCCATGATATGAAATGCTAATATGTTATCAATTAATCGAATTTATATTATTGATTACAGAAAACGGCTCTATATGCTGATAAGGTTGGGATGCCCACCGTTCCATTGATTCGTTATCTGTCAAATAAAGTTGTAACGTACAATATCCAACGATTCTCGGTTCGTTAATCTCACGCTCCCAGATTATCTTTCCACTTTACTAATATTGGAATAGCCTCGTATGCAATCTATTAAGTCGCTTTGACGTCAATAAACATAATTGAGCCTGTATCCATACACCTCACTCCTCTCTCCTTTAATTCACAGTCCACAGCAGCCACAATACTAACTTATTACGCAAATGTTTTATTCATATCCGTTACACTGATGTACGTTTAAAGAATAGCGTTTATTGACACGGCATACAATTGCCCAAATAATATGGTCTGTGCAGCACAATTACAACAAACGACTAACGCTAATAGACAAAGAATCGGGAACAATCTGCCTTAATGTCTGTATCGTATCGTACCGCGTAGGTCCCGTTCAATTATTAACACCTCGATACAATGCTGTATCACGCTGTCTTTAATCATAAATATCCGTAGTCCCCAGCATCATCAGACAGCTTCACTCTGTTCCCTCTGCTAACGATTGAAAAAACACACACCCAACATGACAAAGCTTCTTTTATTGATTACGCTGTTCTTGGCAGCAACCGTGGCGATGCCTTACTACGGGAAAGGATACAAGCCTCTCGCACCTTTGGTCTCTTCTCCCGGTGCGGAAACTATCCCTGACCAGTATATCGTGGTTTTCAAGAGTAGCGCTACTGCGGAGAGGATTACTTGCCATCACAACGACGTCAGAAGCATGTTGGCCGAAGAGAACAGAAAAGTCAAACGCGGATTCATGTCTGAACTCATATCTGGCATTAAACATTATTATGACATTGGAGACTTTCAAGGATACTCGGGTAAATTCTCGTATGATGTGCTGAACAAAATCAGAGAGAGCGATGATGTAAGTGACGTGGCTGTTGATGATCTTGACCATAAAAGTTTAGTGTCCGTTCGAGAAACCGTAAAGTAATATCGCGACATTCCCACCATTTAATTTTAGGTTGCGTACGTTGAGAGAGACCAAAAAGTTTATCCAACCGTCCTCCAGCGCAACGCTCCATGGGGCCTAGCTCGTATTTCTCATCGTAAGCGCTTGGAATCAGGCACATTCACCCAATACACGTACGACGACAGCGCAGGTGAAGGTGTCACTGCGTACGTGATCGATACTGGAGTTAACATTAACCACGTCGAATTCGGTGGCCGTGCTGAATGGGGTACCACTATTCCAAATGAACCGGATGATGATGAGGAAGGCCATGGAACTCATGTTGCCGGTACCATTGCTGGTTCTACGTACGGTGTCGCGAAGAAAGCTAAGATCGTCGCTGTCAAGGTTTTGGGTCCGAACGGTGGCACTACTAGCGATGTGATCAAAGGAATAGAATGGACTGTAAATGCTCACAAGAGAGAATCCTCCAATAACGATCCATCATTCAAGGGTTCAGTCGCTAACATGAGTTTGGGAGGAAGTAACAGTGCAGCATTAGATGCTTCCGCTAATGCAGTGAGTATTTTCAGATAAATGGAGAGTTTCAACTTTGAGTTTTCTATCTAATCGCGTGCGGGTAAATCAATCTAGGCTGTCGATGCTGGAGTCGTCCTGTCCGTAGCAGCAGGCAACGATGCTGTCAGCGCTTGCACCTCATCTCCAGCCTCGGCTGAAAAAGCAATTACTGTCGCCGCTTCTACCATTGAAGATGCTCGTGCTTCATTTTCGAATTACGGTGAATGTGTCGATATCTTTGCTCCCGTAAGTAGACAATTGTGCAATTTTCTATTTTATATACAATCTATCACCAGGTTATCGGTTTAATAACAAACTCTCATACCCTTTTTCTTGTCGCTTGAATACAGGGCAAAGATATCTTGTCAGCCTGGATTGGTTCTGACACTGCCACCAACACAATTTCTGGCACTTCTATGGCGACGCCTCATATAACTGGTCTTTCAGCATATATCCTCGGTCTGAGCTCAAGTCCTATGACTCCACAGCAAGTTCTTGAAGTAATGCTCACCACTGCCACACCGGATGCTATCAGCGACGTCGGACCAAAGAGTCCTAACCTTTTGGCATTCAATAACTATAATGCAAGCTTTCATTTCTAAGTGATATAAGAAATATATAATGTACACGTATTTAAGAGACTGTCGAATGTACAAAGATGAGTTCTCGGACACGATTTATTCTCGTTACATGATATTTTGTGAAGACAGATTTATAAAATAAATGGTTAGTCAAATCGGACGTTATTTTGAACCGCTTCGCATAATTCAGATGCTGTTCGCAGGCTCATCACGTCTGCATGATCACTTAAATTACAAGACGTGTTGAATGATTCCTTAGTACAGAGTAATCGCTAATTAGGGCCCAAATGCCAACTCTTGGAATCCTTCGTTCGCGAGACACCTTCCATTACGCAGAGATATCACATAATGTTTCCATCAAACCGCTTGACAAACGTTCTTCAAGTCTCTCGTTTAGGAGACCCGAAGTTCAGCATCCTCACGAACGCGGCATTTTCTTCATTACCCTCCCTTTAGTGAAGTATAAAAGGCCCGCGTATATGGAGAAAGTTGACCATACATATACGGACAAAAGTGCAACGGCGTCAGTTTAGCGCTCAATGCTTGACCATCATGGTAAGAAGGCTGCACATGCGGTCGATGAAATAACACAGGTTACAGTCTTGTTACTAGTGGAAGGTAAAAACAAATTGGGATCAATTCGCATAACAATTAAACAGCCAGAAGGACCATAACAATATACGTACGTCTCTAAATCCCAGAATCGGACCGTTGGAACTTACGCCTTAAAACTGTGACTACATCGCGCATGTTGTCCGTCACAATCATGACAATACGGCTTGTCAAACAATTAATGGAAAGCTAGGCAGATGCTTTTGCCAGTAAAAGACACAATCCATGCCCGCTGTTTACACGTATTAACTCTATTCCATCCCTCCACATACGTGTCCTCAATATTTGCTAAGCTTTGACGCGTTTTTTAATTCCAGAGAAGTGGTAATGATGCATAAACGTACGTTTGACGATAACGTGCCAGATCGTCCTAAGGAGGAGGCGAAGGAAAAAGAATGAATGAGAAGCGGAACAATAGAGGAAACCAACTGAATAGAACACAACAAACACAAGATAATTGTCCATAGACATTCAACGCAGCATATCACAACATGCAATTGATTATATAAACATGAAAGCCCCAGTTATACACTCTCAAAAAAGTCTAATAATACCGTTAATCACTCTATCAGTTCTTGTGAATAATCGCCACACCCCTTTTTTCCTCTCACCCAAACGAATGACTTCAATATCGTATCCTTCTACTCTTTAACTTCATCCTGTTTTCGGCGAACGCGCTAATCTTCGTTCTCCAGCGACTGCGGAATGAAGGAGAAGTGTCGGCAGTGCGAAAGAAGGGAAATTGCAGTTTGAGAAACAGAAACACGTTTTGATCTTTAGCTGAACGAATTCCCATTACATATACCAATAGTAATAGGAAGTCCCCTTTTTTCCCATCCGGCCATTCTCTAACAACTCTCTTAAATCTCGCAACGTTCATGATTACTTACTTCAGACAAGTTCAGAATATCGATTTATAATTGATCTTCGGTGGCTATAGACAATGTAATTTGTATGCGTCTATTAATGATCCAATTTCCGTTATAGCCATGTAACCGTTTGTCTCTCTCCATGACTTTTAGAATGTTGTCACTGCGTTCCCGGAGATGATCGATTGTTCAAATCACCTGATGACTTGTCTATTTGAGATAGCCGCACTCCTTTTTGCTCAAACTTATGCGTTATGTATGACATTTTAATCTACAAAAAGTATGAAGATGTGGACGGAAGGCAATCACATCTCTTGGCAATCTTCTCATTTTTATCTGGAAGCCACACAACGGGGCATGTTAAAAGTCCTTAGCAGTCCGACGATATGTCACACTGGGTGCAATCTAATATGAAGATCATCTAACTCCCGTGAAAATCACTTGACTTCGG